GTGAGCCACCGCGCCCGGCCAGACATCTGCTTTTGACATTCTGTTTTTCTCAGAATTTTTCAAGCCCTTCCTAGGCACACACTTCTCTCTAGGAAAGGTCGTATAACATAATATGTAAGAGCACAGCTTGACTGGGGCATCTTGTTAAGACAGAAAGCAAAGTAGTCCTCAAAGACTACTAAATAGAACTAAGTCAGAAGAACACTGGAACCAGCTGAAGGGGGCTCATCCTGGCCAAATTTGAGATGTATTCTGAGCATCAAAAGAATGACGACTATAAGTAATTGTAAAACGTTGACTAAGTAAAGTTCCATGTGTCCATAGTGATGTTCAGAAAAGGGGCAAGGAAAGAAATAAAATACATATGCCATCATTAGATGTGGCTATTTTGCCAATTTCTTACTCTGAAAATGAATAATTAAAGGTCAGAAACTAAGCAGTTACCCTGCCTTTTAGAAAGGAACCATAGTTTCCCCTCACTTGTTAAGGAAAGCTCTTCTTTACAGAAGAATGCCAGCTTATAAATATAGAAAGAATGATAGAATAGCATATCACCAGTGAAATTTTTATTGAATCTAGCAAAAATCATCAATGGATGCTAAAATCATTAGGTAAATGGTTTTTAGAGAACAGTATATTTGCATTTGCATTGTACCAAAATATTACTCTCCACTTCCTGCCCTCTAAATTATTTGCTAATAGCAAAGGGAAAAATATATCTCTACAAAGGAGTGTTTTGGTAGTTAACACCTTAACTAAGTAATCCAACTTACATCACTTAGAATGGAACAACCTGACATGATGTACTTCTTGGTGTGATGAAGTAGGAAGTACACAGTATCAATTCTGAAGTATTCTTACCCAAAAAGTTAGCCTTAAGTAAGCCTTTAGATCTGACTTCTGGTTTTTAGAAAATAAAAGGACAGAGGAACAAATTAAGTGACACCACAAGGAAACGAGACAAACCAGAATGAATGACTCTCTTTAAGACAGCTGGTTTGGTTCTCTTTGAAATGTCAATGCCATGAAAAAGAAAAAGCAAGAGAACTGTTTTGGACTAGAGACACAATAATGGAATGGAATGGGAGAGTCTTGATTGGATTCTAGTTTGGAAAAAACAGTTGTAAAAGATGCTTTGAGGGGCTGTTAAAAAATTTCGAAAATAGATTAGATATTAGATAGGGAATTGTTAACTATTTGGATGTGATAATAGTATTTTGGTATGCAGGAGGATGTCCTTATTTGGGGGAGCTATATGCAGAAGTGTTTTAGGGAGAAGTTGTCATGATATGTTCAACTTTTAAATAGTTCAGCAAAAGTAAATTTATTCACAGAGATAAAAAATAGGGTGAGGTGTTAATATTTAATCTAGGTGGCAGATACATGGTTGGTTATATTATTCTTTGAACTTTTCTGCATGTTTGAAAAATTTTATAATAAAAAATAGGGAAATAGAATATAGGCTCTAGTGTTTTGGTTTGGGTACTTACTAGCTCTGTGACCCTGGGCAAGTGACTGTTTAACTTCTCTCTGGCTCAGTTTCCTCATTTTTAAAATGGGGATAATATAATAGTACCTACTGCAAAATGATAATACATGTCAAATATTTAGAATAGTCTGTTAAGACCTCAATAGATATTAGCTGTGGTTGTTAGTATTCAAATGTTCATAGAAAGGACATGGTCACCAGTCTGTAAGTATGTGGGGAGCTGAGGGGGAAAGGAAAATAATTTATTTTTTGGAGTCAAAGGAACTACAAGTTAGTTTGTACTTCTTCTTTTGACACTATAAACCTGCATCCGTT